ATAAAATTAGCCGGGCATAGTGGCACATGCCTGTAATCCCAGCTCCTTGGGAGGCTGAGACAGGAGAGTCACTTGAACCCAGGAGGGAGAGGTTGCGGTGAGCCAAGAGTGTGCCATTGCACTCCAGCCTGGGCAACAAGAGCGAAACTCCGTCTCAAAAAATAAATAAAAGAGTTACCGATGAACAGAATTATATAAATTATCATTTTATGTCAAAAACCGAAGTAGAAATGTTATAAGAAACAAGCTAAATAATTACCACTGGCCATACAATGAGAGCCCCTGAATGAGAAGGAAGAGGGAGGCTTGACTTTTATACCTTGTTCAGTTGAGCAAAATGGGAACATGCAGTCCTTTCCTGTCCACAGATATCTGGCTTCTTCCCTATAAGATGGGTCTGTGCACAGGTGTATTGTATTATGTAGCAACTGTTAAAAGCTGGACATAAACAAGGAAGTATTACTAGTTTCTTTTTCCCTCTAATGAAGTGAGGTTGGGCCTGGTTAAGGCAGAGACAATTCAACACAGTAGTTAACAGAGTGGGCTCTGGAGTCACACTATCTAGGTCAAATCCCAGCTGACACTAATTGACATTGATTACTTAATCTGTCAGTGCCTCATGGCCCACATCTATAAAGTGAGACAGCAATGACAGCACCTAACTCATGGGGTTATCACGAAGATTAAATGAGTGAATATAAAGTGCTCCACAACAGGGCTTGACACATAGAAAGCACTCAATAAATGTTAGTTGTTACTATTACTTGATAAATGGCATTAAATAGGTTTTCAAAAAAAATCATAGCTTAATTTATCAACTAGGCCAAGTCTCCCATGTGGCCCTTTCCCGCTACTCTGTAAAACATCATCAACTCTCAATTATCTGGGTTCTATAAACTGTGCAAACATGAGCTGTTTCCTCTTGCTATCCGCCTCATCTGTTATGCTGGTGCATGTTCATGGAATGCCAGCTTACTCACGATGAAGGTAAGCCCAAAGAGATTATCATAAGACAGACAGTAAAGCTGCTGAAAATTCTGGAAGGCATTCTAGACATATACATAAATGGTTTTTATTTATTTATTTATTTATTTATTTTTGAGACAGAGTCTCGCTCTGTTGCCAGGCTGGAGTGCAATGGCGTGATCTCAGCTCACTGCAACCTCCACCTCCTGGGTTCAAGCAATTCTAATGCTTCGGCCTCTGGAGTAGCTGGGATTACAGGCATGTGCCACCACACCAGCTAATTTTTGTACTTTTAGAAGAGATGGGGTTTCACCATGTTGGCCAGGATGGATTCAATCTCCTGATCTACCCACCTCGGCCTCCCAAAGTGCTGGGATTACAGGCGTGAGCCACCGTGCCCGGCTGGTTTTTGTTTTCTGAATCACATAAATCCTCTATTATCACAGCCAATAAAAGGTGACTGAGGTGGCAAATTGTTACTTTGAAAGCTGGTTAAGACTGATAAATATACCAATCCCTAATTATTATTACATGATTATAAGGAGGCACAATTTACCTCTCTGCTTTTTTTTTCTTTTTCTTTTTTTGGTGAGATAGGGTCTTGCTCTGTTGCTTGTGCTGGAGTGGTGCAGTGGCATGATCACTGCTTACTGCAGCCTTGACCTCCTGGGCTCAAGAGATCCTCCCACCTCAGCCTCCTGAGTAGCTGGGACTACAGGCATGCACCACCATGCCCAGCTAATTTTTCTATTTTTTGTAGAGGGGCATTTTGCCATGTTGCCCCAGCTGGTCTTGAACTCCTAGGCTGAAGTAACCCTCCTGCCTTGGCTTCCCAAAGTGTTGAAATTACAGGCATGAGCCACCGCACCTGGCCCCCCACACCCTTTTTTTTTTTTTTAGAGACAGAATCTTACTCTGTTGTCCGGGCTGGAGTGTGGTGGCGCGATCACAGCTCACTGCACCCTGGAACTCTGGGGCTCAAGTGAACCTCCTGTCTCAGTCTCCCAAATAGCTGGGACTACAGGCAGGTATCCCTCTGCCCAGCTAATTTTAAAATTTTTTCAATTCTTTTTTTTTTTTGGAGACAGGGTCTTACTCTGTCACCCAGATTGGAGTTAATTTTTTTCATTTTTATCATAGAGATGGTATCTTACTATGTTGCGCAGGCTGGTCTCAAACCCCTGGCTTCAAGTGATTCTTCCATTTTGGCCTGCCAAATTACTGGGATTACTGGCATGAGCTGCCACGCCCAGTTCCCAAAATTTACTTTCCAATGAAATAGATCTGAGAGTCTGCGGTGGAGGATTTTGTTTAGAGTTCTGAACTTGATCTACTTTCTCAGGTGAGATAAACTAAGAGTCTTTCTTTTGTCTCTCTGGCAAGTTTACGCTTATTTTTTCCAAGTCTCGGTAGAAAGCAAAACTTCCTGGTAGCAAACTAGATTACTGAGGAATTTCCTAAAATAGAACAAAGCTCTAAAGCAGGGTGGACAGCTGCCTGATTGGAAGGACATTCTGAACCTAGTCAGAATGAAAACATCTGGATGGAAATGTGCATCTGGCCTCCTGCCTGGCCCCTCCCTCAACTGTGAGGTGTCAGCAGGGTGGCCTCAATGATTGCCTGGGAATGCCAGGTGACTGATAACCTTTTTCTTCCTCCTAAAGTCTCAGAGTAGCAGTTACAAAATCTCCAGAGGGAAAGCAGCATCACTCCTGACCCAGGAATATTTTACTACCTCCATCTTGACCCAGCAAACATTTCTTTGCAGTGGTCACCTGAAGCTGTTCATGTGAGTAAAAACTCTGAAACAACAGTAATAAACCCCCAGTGTTCCAAAGCTGGGCATGAGCCCACACACATGCACACAGGACTGTGTTCAAGTCTTTATGGGCTTTGCCAAAAGAAGTGAACGAGTCAGCTGGGACACAGTCTTGCCCAGTTCTTCACCTCTGCTGCTGCACATGGAGTGAGCTGGCTAACAGATGAAAAATAACACTGAAATCCAAACTGGAAGTTGCTTACAGTCACCAGAAACATGAAAGACTAATGCAAAATGTGGAAAATCATCAACGTGGTGTATTTATTTAAAAGTCAGTGAAGTTATTATGATTATTCTGCTCTGATTCACTGAGATGCGGAGAATGGCTGGTGGCATACATGGTGAAAAGCTGGTCATATCTTAGGCTTTGGCCAGCAGAGAGAATTCAGTAATCACCTGGAAAGTTTTAAAATCTCACTACTCAAAGTGTGGTCCATGGACCAGCAGTATCACATTACTTGGCAGCTTGTCAGAAATGCAGAGTATCAGGCCCAACATCAGACTGCCAACATCAGAATAAGCATTTTAACAAGATTCCCAGCAAGTGGTAAACCCAATGAGTTTGAGAAGTTTGAATGCTGTTTTAAAGAGCCTTCATCAGTCTCGGTGCCAACTAGGGGGCTCACTAGCTTTGCGGCCTTTATGTAAAAAACGAGAATGTATTTGCAACAAAAGTTCTAGCATCCATACTCCAAGGGAGCACAAAAGGACATTTTGTTCTCTATGTTTGCTCTATTCAAAACAAAATTACAATTCAGACACCTGGAAAAGACAAAATGATCTAAGTTCATGGTGTCTAGATTTCTAGAAAAAACAATGGACTGGTTTTTGGTTGGTTTAAACTGAAGGTGGCAACAGTCAAAAGTCTTGAGCAAGTGAGAAGGGCAGAGCTCTCCTTCCCCAGTCCCCTGAAACAATGGACTTGCCCTTTGGAGGTTGATGGTGCTGACGTGCAGTTTCTTCATGGGTCCTGTTTCCACTGGTCCACTAGCCAATGCATCCCCCTGGCCACTCCTAAGCATTCGATGCTGGTAAATCAAAGGATCCTCCTCTTCATCAGCAAGTGTGTAACCCTGCAACCAGAGATTCATAGGAAACACCTACAACTCTACCAGATGCTTCTGGTTTAGAAAATATCCTTAAACTTTGGGAGGTGCAGACCTTCTGGTAGAGCCAGGATTTCAGTAAGAAGTACAAAGTCACATGTATGAACAAAATGAACCACGGGTGGGCTGACTCCACAACTGTAGACCAGTCTTTGCTAGTCAGTCCTAGTTACTAACAAGCACTGACTTATAGTAGGAGCAAGCAACCATGCAACTAGCAAAGATAAACAATTGCCAACAATGGGAAGAGTGATAAAGTATTTGGAACAAAGGCAGCACACAGCCCCATCCCCTGGCTGCTTTTTACTCTCTAAAAAGAATTATTTACTCATTTATTTATTTGTGCCTCCCTATGTATCTATTTTATTTATTTATTTATTTTGAGACAGTCTAGCTCTGTCACCCAGGCTGGAGAGCAGTGGTACAATCTCAGCTCACTGCAACCTCTGCCTCCTGGGTTCAAGCAATTCTCTTGCCTCAGCCTCCTGAGTAGCTGGGACTACAGGCATGCACTACTACCATGCCTGGCTAATTTTTGTATTTTTAACAGAGAGAAGGTTTCGCTATGTTAGCCAGGCTGGTCTCAAACTCCTGACCCCAAGTGATCCGCCTGCCTCAGCCTCCCAAAGTGCTGGGATTACAGGCGTGAGCCACTGGGCCAGCCTTTAATCTACATTGAGACAGGGTCTCACTGTGCCACCCAGGCTGGAGTGCACTGGTACAATCACAGCTCACTGCAGCCTCAGGTGATCCTCGCACTTCAGCCTCCTGGGTAGCTGGGACCACAGGTGCCCTCCATCATGAGCACCTAACTTTTAGTATTTTTTTGTAGAGATGGGGTTTCACCATGTTGCCCAGGCTGGTCTCAAACGCCTGGGCTCAAGTGATCCACTTACCACACGCCTGGCCTCCCAAGGCATGAGCCACTATGCCCAGCCCCCTGCCTGTTTTTATATAGCCCAAGAGCTAAGAAGAGTTTTTATACTTTTAAATGGTTGGGGGAAAAAAATCAAAAGAAGATTGACATTTTGCAACACATGAAGATTGAGAGAATCAAATTGAGGTGTCCATAAATAAAGGTTTACTGGAATGCAGCCAGGCTCATCATTTACACATCGTGCATGGCTGCTCTCAGGCTGCAGTGGCAGAGCTGAGGAGTTGCAAAAGACATCACATAGCCTACAAAACTGAAAAAAAAGTTTGCCAATCCCTAGTTTAGAGCTAAAAAGCTATAGAAACTCCCATAGCCAAGACTACAAGAATATCAAGCAGTAAAGACAACAGGGACTGCAGAAGCGAAAGGAAGTGTAGTTCACCTTGACAATTGCTTCAGAAGGGAAAGGAAGTGTAGCTCACCTTGACAATTCTGCAGATAAGCACGTCATAGCGCTGATGATTGATTCGGTGTCGCACCAGAACTTTATTCACCATTGGAATGAAAATTTGGTACTACAACAGGAGGAGGAAGAGATTAGAAACTATCATTTTGGAAAGTGGAAAGAAAGCAGAGGAAAAAATGTTATACAACTATGTTATGGCCATTTGTTCTGGGTTTGTGGCTAACTGTAATATTCAGAAGACTCCTTCTTCCCATCTCCTGCTATAATGCTAGCCCAAGTCCCCATCATCTTCCATCTGGCTTATGATGGTGGCCTCTTAATGGATCTTTGTTCTGCCCTTATCTCCACAGCCTATTTTCCCACACAGCATTGACAGTTATTATTTAAAAATATTAAGTCAGGTCATATTTTTCCTGTGTTCAAAATCTACCAAAAACTTCCAGTCTTGCTCAGAGTAAAAGCCAAAATACTTACAACGGCCCACAGTAGTGATCTGCAAATTTTAGTGGGACAGCTCATGAAACCAGAGACTGCTGGGCTCCACAGCTAGAGTATCTGATTCAGTAGGTCTTAGGTGAGATGAGGTCTTGCTCTGTTGCCCAGGCTGAAGTGCATTGGCACAATTATGCGGGTTACTGCAGTCTGGAACTCCTGGGCTCATCCCTCTGCCTTAGCCTCCTGAGTAGTGGGGACTACAGGCAAGTGTCCCTGTGCCTGGCTAATTTTTAAGTTTTTTTGTGGAGACAGGGTCTTACTATGCCTCGAGCTGGTCTCCAACTCCTGATCTCAAGCAATTCTCTTGCCTCAGCCTCCCAAGATGCTGGAATTACAGGTATGAGTGTCTGTGCCTAGCTCAAGAATTTGCATTTCTAATAAGTTCTCAGGTATGTAGATATTGATATTGCTTGTCCAGGAATTATATTTTGAGAGCTACAGGCCTACAAGATCTAGTCTCTACTATCTTGCCTTATCTCTATCACCTTAGCTCCGAGCACGTCCCTGTTGCTCGCTCCTCTGAAGTCACACTGCTCTTGCGCTATGCCCTGAACTCTTTGAGCAAGCTGCCACCTCAATCCCAGCATTTGCTATTTCTGCTCCCTGCATCCAGTTCTTTGCAATTGGGCCTTTATTTTATTTAGGTCTCTGCTTAAGTGTCAGCTGATCAGAGGTCTTCTCTGTCTACCCTAAATAAAGACCATTTTTCCCCACTTCAACCCATCACTCTTAAGAAACAAGCTGTGTTTATTTGCTTTGCTTCATTAGGATGGAAGCTCTATGAGAGCAAGGACTTTATTCTGTTTACTGTGTTATCCCCAGAACAGCACTTAGCTCACACAGGCTGCTCAATGAATGCTGAACAAATGAAAAAAAAAAAAAAAAAAAAAAA